AAGAATAACATAAGACTGATAGGAATCCATGAAGTAGCAGGAGAAAATACAAATGACGTTAAAAAAGCTGTTTGCAGAATTAATGACAGAAAACTTCCCAAACAGAGGGGAAGAATTTTACAGATAACTGAGGCATATAGGACCTCAACTAGCTACAATAAAAAAGAAAATCTACACCTAAACATATAATACTCAAGATCCCAGAAACCCAACAGAAGAACAAAATACTACAAGCAGTAAGAGAAAAGAAACAAATCATACAAAGGAAAGCCCATCAGAATCACAGCAGACTTTTCAACACAAACCCTTGGGGCAAGGAGAGCCTGGAATGAGATATTTCAAGTACTAAAAGAGAACAACCTCCAACCTAGACTGATGTATCCAGCAAAACTCTTTCAAAATAGATGGGGACATAAGACACTTCCAGGACAAAGAACACCTGAGAAACTACATGAATACCAAACCAGCACTACAAGCAATTCTAAACAAGATCCTAGAAAAAGACAATGAAGGCAACAACACCATGAGGCCCAACAGAGCAAATCAAATAGGCAAGGCAAGAAATTAAAAGGAGGTGAAAAAGTAAAAAGAGTCAACAAAAGGCCAATAACATGTCAATAATAAGTCAGTACATATCAGTTATAACCAGATATGTCAATGGCCTCAACTCACCAATCAAGAGAAACAGACTGGCAAAATGGAGTAAGAAGCAAAATCCAACAATATGTTGTATACAAGAAACACACCTAGTGCAAAAAGAAGCCTATAGACTGAAAATGAAGAGAGAGAAAATAATTCTCCATGTGACAGGAGCCCAGAAAAACAGGGGCAGCAATCTTATTTGCAGACAAAGTAAATTTCAAACCAAAACTGATTCTAGTATTACTGATGTAGGACAGAATGTCTACAATTTTGTCCAGATGACTGCAGAACCTGGAAAAGCTGTTGCTGCTATCGATGTATAACATACTATTATTAGTCTTTTCATATAAACATATATACATATATATAAATTGAATTTTGGGAAACTTTAACAGTGCTGCCAATTTTGGAAAAAGTCATCCCAATTTACTGTGCTGAGTTGGCATTGTACAGAAATGGACAGCCATATTGGTCTAGAAATGTTAATTTATTTTTATTTTTATTCCATGTGTACAGGGGTAACACATCATACTAAATATGTAAGGTTGTATCTACGTGGGTTTGATTACAGAAACTAATAAAAGTATTCTCTAAATAATGAAAAAAAGAATAAGACTATAAGAGCAAGAAGCAATTTAAATATGTTCGGGGACCATTTTCATCTTCAGAATTAAGGATTATTTTAATGTTACATCATTGCCTTTTCTCTTTTACTTTCCTTTTTAGTTTTATTTTAGGGTTCCCTATTTTTAATGTTCATACAGAGATTTCCTTAACTGAAATACCGAATAGTTTCTTTGGTACGAAAAACTATAATAGTACTCAGGATCCTAATGATATAATTAATAATGTGAAATAGGAAGTAAAGGGCTAAAGGTGTAGGGAAAGTGGGAAGGGTGGGGGAAAGGTAATAAGGGAGAGGAAAAAAATATGAGAAACTGAAAAAATGGAAATAAAGTGTTTTAAATGGGGACGGAAGGAGGAGAGGGTGAAGGGAGGGCAGGGACAAGGGGAAAAAATGAGAATCAAGACCTATTATGTAAAGGTACAGAATCCCAATGATGAATATAACTGTATTGTATACCTAGATTGTACCAATAAACTCAATTAAAGATAAAAAAAGAATTTAAGATTTATATGCTTTTCTAGTAACCGTACAAGGGTAGGAAATGAGCAAAACAAGTAGCCCTACCTAGACCACACAGTCAGAAAGACCCGGTGTGTAGCACAGTAGGCTGCCCAGGAAACAGGCCCAACTTAAGGTCTCAAACATGCATCCTAAGAAAAATGTGATTTATGTGTCCAGTATGTACTATTTTTTGTTTTGCAAGAAGAATTGAGCTGTTTTTTTATAACAAGAGTAAATGGTAGAAAATGGAAAAACAAAACAACCCATGCATCCTATCACTGCAGCTCAAGACTGACCACTGTCCTTGTCCTACAGTCAAAACAATCAAAATTAAGAAACCAGGCGCACGCCTGTAATCCCAGCACTTGGGAGGCTGAGGCAGGAGGATCACAGAGTTTTGAGACCAGCTTGGGCTACATAGTGAGTTCCAGGTCAGTTTCAACAACATAGTGAGACCCTGTCTCAAAAAAAAAAAAAAAAAAAAAAAAAAAAAAAAAAATCAAAAATCAAAAACAACAACAAAAGAAAAGAAAAGAAACCAAACAGACTGTAAAGGGCCAGACTAGTGTTTACTTTTACTTCAAGTAATTTTTATAAGGGATGGGAGATGTAGCTCAGTGGCAGAGACTTTGTCTAGCATCCCAGAGAGAGGGAGCGAGAGAAGCAGGAAGGAAAAAAGGGAAGGAAGGAGGAAGGGATGAAGGAAGACGGAGACCACTGTGGGCCCCCTAGACTAATGATGGACCTTTTAGAGACTGAGTGCCCAAAGTGCAACCCCAAACCTACTCATTCATCACGAAGTGCCAACACTGCAATTAAACCGGAGTGATGCTTGGCTGCTGAGGCAGCTTAGCTGCTGAGGCACCTGGGCTGGTGTTTCTGACAGAGTTCTACGTGCCTACTGCACCATGGGTGCCCAAAGGTTTGCCACCACTGCCCTAGGCCATTTTAATGCTTTAAAAGCCACACACAGAAACACAAAACCATTGGTAGAAGTAAAGGCAAAAGAAAACAAAGTGGCTGGCAGTTTCCAAACCCAGGCATGGGAACACACACGTAGTTTTTCTAGGTGGACCTGGACTGCTGTCAGCAACAGCAACACCTGGCAATCTGCTAGAGATTCTGAGATTCTACCTGGGACTTACTAGATCTAGATCAGAAAGGAGGTGTGGGATCCAGAGATCTGTTTGGATTAGGGAAATGGAGCATCTTGCTTGTGTGGGCAACCTTGACCTGGGGTTCAGAACCCCTTTTCCATTCTCCCACCAGACGTTATGTCAGGGTTCAGTTTTTTAATTCCTTCTTTGTCCTTTTCTCCTGAGTGGAGTATGAAGATTCAGTTTGGCAAACTAGAACCCCCATGACACACATCTCTGCACAGCTAGTATTGAGCAGAAAACAGTAACTGCTTGCTGGGTATGACTGTCCCTGGTCTTGAAGAGGGCACTGGTGGATCCAAGGAGGTTGCATAGCAACCTGAGACAATAGGAAGCAAGCAGGTGGTGACAAGCACACTCCACCTGTCCGCCAAATGAATGATAGAGAAACAGACTCACCTGTACCTAGGGCACCTAAACAAACAGAAGCTGGGCATGATGGTACACACCCTGAATCCCAGAGAACCCAAGAGGCCCACCTGGGCTACTTAGCAAGACCCTGGCTAATACAGAAACCTGAGGGCTTGGTAACGGAGCACTTGCCTAGTGTGCCCAAGGCCTGAGTTCAATCTCCTGGACCAAAAAAGGGGGGAGGAGGCTGCCCAAAACTAAAATACAAAAGGATTATTTGCATATGAACTTTCTAAGTAACAGTAGTAAATACATGAGAAAAAAATTTTCAAAATATTGTAGTAGAAAGTTGCATTACATATGTAAAACCAGGGCATGTCTGCAACCTCAGCACTCAGCAGCCTGAAGCTTTGACTACAGAGAAACCCGGTCTCAAACCAA